TTTTTTTTTACTTTAAACCGCATAAACACATTTCATTACACCAAATACACAAAATAATGTTCTTTTTAGCAGCATCATATGACCCCTTTAATGCAGACAAAAAAAGGGCTTTTTTTTTTTTAGATAGCATGCTGGATTATGAAATTAATCAAACAGTCTTCATTATAATGAAGTGTAACTTTAATTTTCTGGGAATTAATCAAAGGTAATTTAATAAATGGGATTTAATTTTTCACAAAAGGGATGCCTAAACACCGGCAAAACCAGTAACTCTCTTACTCTTCCATGCTTTTTTGTTTATAGAGTAAACTACATAAAGCAGATTTTTGCAATTTGGAAGAATAAAACGTCTTTATTTCTACAAAATATAATGAGACAATTAAGAAAAAAAAGTATGACTGCTTCTGCTTTTTAGTGACTAAATGCTTTTAGTGCTTATTAGTGACTATAGTAACCATTAAACTAGAGTGTGGACAAAACATGAACAGTGTAAACTCTCAAGGAAAAAAAAACAAAAAGTGTCTTTGAACATGTTTGTTCTTAAACATGAGATATTGTGAACAAAATTTCCAAGATGCCGCTCTTTTGTGTTATTTTATGTACAAGTGTTTCAGTGTTTAAAAACTTTCTGATAAACAAAAAATACATTCAAAAAGTCACAGGATAAAAATAGAAAGTTTAAAAGGCTACACATTTTAGCACATTTAATTCATTTGGCATTTCACTCACACAGTAATTAATGAAAGCTCACAAAATAAACGAAGCAAAATTGAAGAAACACTGAATAAATAATTAAACACTAAAGTGTGTCTGTGCATGCTTGCCGTAGAGAAGCCTTCAGTACAGGAAGGTACCAAAGCTTCCCTTTCCATTGTGCTTAAACTGATTTCCATGAATGGAAATGAACATTTCCTGTGAGAGTAGATTCTCATCAGCCTGCATGGCCCCTAGTGCTTTCATCCGGCTCTTCTGAAGCCTGTGTTTCTTGGCCGATGTGGCAACCAACTCTTGTTTGATGGCATAATTTCCCTCAGTGAAGTCTGGAGGGATTGAGTGACCATGTTGGATGGCTGGGCACTCTTCCTCCACAACAATGACAGGCACATTATCATCAGCATCACCATCATCATCATCATCTATATCAGCCTCTGATTTTACTCCTGTGTCCTCAGATTCTTCCTCTTTCTCATCTGACAAAACAGAAGAGGCACACAACAGGCTTCAGATTAGATTAGATTTTAGTTAGCATTTTTAATCTAAAACCCCAAACCTTAAAGGAAACAGTAAATCATAACTAGAGAAGCCTCGGTGCAAATATAATTTGAACAAATAGATTAATCTCAGTTGTGACACAGGAACAGTTCAGAAGCAGTCGTACTGTTTGAAACAACATGAGAAAGAATAAATGACACAATTTTTATTTTTGAGTGAATTATTCCTTTAATTCCTGACTAGAAAGCAGGAAGCACAGTCTCATGCACCTAAATGTCTCAGGTTACACATATAACCATGGTTCCCCAAGAGGGAACGAGACGCTGCGTCCTCTAGCGGACACTATGGGGACTGCCGCCAACAGGACCGGTGTTTGAAGCACGTGTGAAATAACTCCAATCCTATTGGTCCACGTAGCCCGTGATGTCACAGGCGGGCACCCAGTATAAGAGGGTGCCTACAGAACACTTCAACAACTTAGTTGTGACTGAAGGGAAACAGGTTCAAAAACATCCCAATATGCAGGCAATGGCGGGGGGAGAGGCAACTCAATAGAGGAAGTATAAGCTACCAGTCCTAGTTTAACCACTTTAGCCTTAAAAAACCTTGAGAAGCTTTCACAAAGAGTGACAGAGGCAACAGACAGAGTATTTACCAGGGGATTAACAACAGAATTGATAACAGAAAACAAAATCTTGGGTCTGGACTGATTATGTAGAATTAAATTAGAAAAATAGGTCGCCTTAGCCAATTTGGCGGCACTCTGATAAGCCAATAAACTGTCTTTGAACAACTGTAATGAAATATGTAAATTGTCCTTTTTCCACTTATGCTCAGCCTTTCTACATGTTTGCCTTAGCAGCCGAGTCTCAGCAGTATGCCACAATTCCGACTTAGGTTTGTGCTCAAAAGGCTTTAAAGGAGCAGTCACATTCATTACATCGAGCCAAGCACTATTTAACAGACTGAGATGTTCGTCCACATCCAAGTCCGATAATGGAGAGTCCATGAGTAAATGAGAGCAGGGCTTAGTAAAGCATTGACTAAAATTTACACCAAATTGAGGAGAGTAAACCAGAGACAGAATTGGCACCTTAGTAGAAGCATGAGAAAGGCAAATATATGAAGAGACATGGCAAATATAATAGGCTTATGATCAGAGAGCATATAATCAGAAATGGTAATATCATTAATATCAACCCCATAAGAGAGAACAAGGTCCAGAGTATGACTGTGGATATGAGTGGGCCCTTTAAACCACTGTATCAGGTTAAAAGTGTCAATTATATTAAGAAATTCCCTCGACAGAGGGTTTTACTGACAGCAAACATGAATGTTAAAATCGCCCACCAATAAAAAGCGATCAAATTTAGTGGCAATGTTACTAATGAAATCAGTGAATTGCTGTAGAAAGTCCTTAACTGAAAGTGGAGGATGGTAGATCACCCCTAAGCAGACAGGACCGTTCCAGTCTAGATGGAGAAGTTGGGCTTCGAAGCTGGTATAGATATCCACAGGGACGGAGCGACATTGAGCAGCGTTGAGTGTTTTTCATAACAGTCAATAACCCACCCCCTTGTCCATTTTGGCCAAGTTAAAAGTTAAAAAAATTTACAGTCAACCGGGACCAATTCAGAAAAGGGATAAGATCGCTATCCTTAATCCAGGATTCAGTTATAAACATAAAATCCAAATTTTTGAAAGAAAATCCAAAGAAAAGTCATTCAGCAGAAAAGTCTTATTCACCTCTGAACAAGCATTGATTAAAACCACATTGGGTGGAGGAACCGCGCCTGGGGAGAGTGACACTCTGCACAGCGGACGCAGCACACCAGGAGCTGCTCCAGTTCTCCGGAGATAGCGGCCGATCCGAGGAAGGCCAACCCAGGGCCTTCCCAGTAGAACAAGGGAAGAACAGGTCGAAGCCACCGGTGAGCCTGATCCAAGAGACGCCAGACCATGGAGCCACCATAGAGCGGCTTGAGAAAAGGGCTTGAAATACAGCCCGCATGCAGACGGGCTTTCAGCTTGATCGCGAGTCCTACCTGAGACCCGTGTCTCCTCCTGCGCTTCCTCCGTGGACTATTAAGAGGCCAGCGGCGAATGCACTCTGGAATGTCCGTTGTAAAACTCCCATGCGGTTTGTAAAAAACAAACTCCACATCCGACTTGTGAAAATTAAAAAATGTTGACCCAATATCCAAAAGAGACTGGCGATCATAAACCACAAGGGTGCCACAGTTTGAGTACCAAACAAACAACCAAACTATCAGACAAGAGAGCAGCAGACGGCATGCCGACACTGGCGCCATCTTGCCCTCAAAGGATGGAGGATGGAGGAACAGCTGATAATAGCTGTACAGGAATAGCCTTTTTTTTTTTTTTTTTTAAATGTATAAATTTACTACTGCAAGCGATTTTCAGTGCTGGAAATCCACTTATCCTTTGCTGAAACGTCCTCATCGTCATGGAGAGCGCAGCTCATGGTTGCTTAGCAACGGTAGACCCAACGGGAGCGCAAGCTCCCAAGTGCTTTGGAAAGAAGGAGAAAGTAGCACAGCTAGCATTTTCCATGCGTTTTTAAGCGCGATATGTGAACACAACAGCCCCATATACTTTAAGGGTGCCCACCTGTGACGTCACAGGCTACGTGGGCCAATAGGATTGGATTAGTTTCAGACGTGCTTCAAACACCGGTCCTGCTGGCAGCAGTCCCCATCGTGTCCGCTAGAGGACGCAGCACGAGTTCCCTAGAAGGGGAAACGCTCTCATTCACCCTTCCAGCAGGGAGCAATATGAATGGTTATAGTCAGCCAGAAAATGATAGGGTACAATAAAAGGAATGGTTTGAAACATCTACGACTCTGCCCTAAATGGAGGGCCTCTGCACTAAAACTAAACCCTGCTGTTCCTGGCAAACAAAGTCATTAATGACAAAAAACAATTACACTGTAATACTAGACAGAGAATTTCCTATATTCTACGAGAAAGCATCTTTAGGAAAGTCAACAGTTATAGGCATACACCGTAGTATAAACTTTTTTTTCTCATTCCTGAGATGTGCAAGGAAGAACTATACCATAACCTACATTTTCTTTACAATATGTATTATATTTAATTCAAATGGATTCATTTGAATACAATGAGATTTGCAATCTAAATAACTAAATCTGCTCTACTTTCTGCACATACAAAAATGGCTAAGGATCAACCTATGCTTCTCACCTGCATAATAAAAAAAAATGCATAACCATTTATTTTACAGAAAATAAACAAGATTCTGAATTCTCCTAACCAACACCAAAACAAAAACATGCACATGTCAACTGAAACTATACAAAGGCAGACGGTGAGATGCGGAAACAAAGGAATCCGAGAGAGAAGTAGGGTCTACTTTTATTTTGAAGCTGAGATGCCTTCTGCTGAGCATAATTCAGAAATTAAGCACACTGCATTCACAGCTGCCTTTCATTGAATGTCAAGCGTATTTCCGTTCTTCCATTTTCTCAAAATGGAGCTGGCTGAGAAAGGGGAAAAAAGCCAATCCTGCTGAAGAAAAGTACCGTGGGGATGGCAGTCATTACAGACAGGCCTTCCAACAGACCCAGGATGGCATTTTTAACAAAAATTTTATGCAAGCGAATATATTTTTTACTGATATTACAGCAGGAGAAAGTAGAGCACTTTTCGCATTGTCGGACTGAGTCCTGCGGATTCCTTCACAAGCTATATAGACTTTTGGCATATGTACAGAACCATTTACAGTAATGGGGAGACTGGTCATGGCCTATTTCATTTATGGCAAAGAAGATAAGATGTGTGAAAGCAAAAAACTTCAAGGTTACACTATTCCCCGTACAAGAAACCAAGAAAATGCAGCAGACAAAAAAAATTAATAAAAAAATCAGCTCTAACATGGAGGCCCTGGACACATGAATGTATTATTTATGAATGAATGAATGATGCATTTATATAGCGCTTTTATTGTGTATTGTTGTACAAAGCGCTTTACAATCATTTGGGGGGTCTCTCCTCAACCACCACCAATGTGCAGCATCCACTTGGATGATGCGACGGCAGCCACAGGACAACGGCGCCAGTGTGCTCACCACACACCAGCTACAGGTGGAGAGGAGAGAGAGTCATAGAGCCAATCAACTTGATGGGGATTATTAGAAGGCCATGATTGACAAAGGCCAGGGGGGCAATTTGGCCAGGACACCGGGGTTACACCCCTACTCGTTACGAGAAGTGCCATGGGATTTTTAATGACCACAGAGAGTCAGGACCTCGGTTTAACGTCTCATCCGAAAGACGGTTATGTACTGTATTATTTGCAAGCTCAAGCACATTTTTATATTTCCCAATAAACTGCTAAAAAATTAGCATTAAAATAATAAGCAATAAAAGCATTATCCTTTTATTTCACTCTATTTTAGAGTTAATAATAAATTATCCTTTTATTATAAAACTATATATATATATCATACGAGTCATTTCTGAAGCTATGCAGTTGATTTGGTTTACGAATTGGACTGGTCACTGACCAATGTTCCAGTCGCAGTGATTCTCGGGTTAACAGCTGACTGACAGCAAGATTATCAGTAAATAACAATTTTAATGCATTATTTCAACTCATTTAATGCAACTCATACTGATAATTATGTTATGGCTGATAACAGATAAATTTGGGGTTCACTAAGCCCTGGGGGTTAGTGAGGGAACTGCAGGGGGTTTGTGATTTGATTAATACTAGGGTCATATGTCTATTAATTGGCACCTGTAAACCACGAACATGCAAATGTGTAAAATTATTGAATTTATTAAAATATCAGGGGGTACTTCAAGAAAACATTTGTCAAAGGCGTTCAACTTAAAAAAAAAAAAAATTATGGTACGGCATTAAAAATACTTATTTTAACATATTTAACATGTATTACTTATTAGCATTTTCAAAGATTAAACATTACATTAAAAAAATTACAGATTAAAAAAAATCTCAAATATCAGCTAATAACTGAAACATAACCAGTTTATTATGAATCTTTTAGTGTTTTGTCATTTTTGAGCTTGACAAGCTATTCACTATTAACAGTTGTTATATGAAAAGAGCTTTGTGAAGATCCTTTAAAACTGTCATTCTGTGTTCCGCTGATAAAAAAAAAAAACAATAAGTAACATAATACTTTAGAACCGAAAAAGAGAAAATTTTCATTTAATAAACCCTATAATGCATGCAGCACAAAACCTAGAGATGTTAGCATTTCTACTTCTTGAGTTGTTTCAAGTTAAGCGCCCTTAATGAACTAGCTGGTGTTAATTTGAGAACATGCCCTGCTGATGGTGAACTGAGGTGGCAGAAGCAGACAGAAGAAGAAAATGGCACCTGCGGCATTGGGCTCTGCGGGAAGATCCTCCACGGCAGCATCACCTGGCTTGACCAAGATAACACCGTAGCCCTGATTGTTGTGGATCACGTTATTCACCATGGTGATTTTAGGCATGGCGTCCAACTCGTCTGCAAAATCCTGCCAAAGGGGAAGCAGGGGGTGGTAAACATGCAGCATGCCTACACAAATGAACATGTGCACGCACACTCTCACATCTCTTTCTGGCCTAAGCAAAGTGAGGAAGAATAAAAGACTGAGGTTGGGAAGGCGCAGCATGTACACAAATGCACAAAGCTTTAGGAAGGTAGATAAAATCTAATTATTCCGCTATAGTTAATTACGGAAAAATCCTTTTGGGATGCTGCTACCTGTGTGAGAATCTAATTTGCTCTCAGGTGAAACACTAACACTGACTTGAGCTGAAGTATTATGCGATGACTTTCTCAAGACACACTTTCTCAAATGAAGCCAATTGGCAAGATTTTCCACAAAGATTCATGTTAGTGCTGGGCGGTATGACCAAAAATGTATATCACGGTATTTTCCAAAATTATACCGGTTACACGGTACATGACAGTATTTTTTTTTTCATGCATGACCGGGTGTTAACCATATTTTCTACTGATTGAGAGCACTGAGTAACACTGAGTAACCTAACAACACTGAGTAACAAACTAAAAAAAACATTTAAAAAAAAGTGAATGTGATATTAACAGACGAACTACGCTCATATTTATAATTCCAAACAATCAGTAAGCGATTTAAATGAACATCAAAATAAATAAATAAACCATTTTTTTAACCATTTATGATATTCATAAAATCAGATACAAGTAAACTTCCAAATTGGCACATTCTGAAATTTACTGATATTTTTACCAATATGATACAGGTTACATTTATTGATCAGCTGATATAGCAATAATCGTCTTCAACTAGATAGTTGCAGTAACAATGTTCATTATATAATTTAAAGAATCAAAAATCATACATATCAACATTCAGCTAGCACCACAATTTCCAACAACCTCACATCCAGTGACCTGTCATTCATATTAACTTTTAGCCAAGAACCCATTGACAAAAAATATATAAGTTTACATGGAAAGGCACCGAAACTTTACTGGACATACTGGAACGGTTAGACTTCAGGCAGAGAAGGTACCTGAGTAAGTGAAATTACTTTAGCCTGTATATATATTAGTGCTGGGCAGTATGACCAAATATTTATATCACGGTATTTTTCAAAATTATACCGGTTTCACGGTACATGACGGTATTTTTTTTTCATGCATGACCGGGTGTTAACCATATTTTCTACTGATTGAGAGAGGAAATACTGCAGTATATTGACTTAGAATGCCCTATTTTACTGTCATGATGAGTGAATATTGTCAAAAAATACCACACTAAATAGTGACTAAACACGACCCCTTTTAATACATGTTAACCAGGAGTCACTCTCATTTATAATCGCGGCATCGTCTGATAAAATCAACATGCATCTACACTAAAGAGCGGCTATGCGGTTGTTTTGGCTGTATTACTTTTTTGTCTCATGCAGCGCACTGCCTGCGTCTGAGTAGCAAACTAAAAAAAACAACAAAGAAAAAAGTGCATGTGATATTAACAGACGAACTATGCTCATATTTATAATTCCAAACAATCAGTAAGCGACAGGTGCTAGGAAACGCTGTTTTGTACTCATTTATTGACGTGTCGGCTGCGGTGCGGCCAACTGAATGCACTGCTTCTCTGCCGCTCACTGCACAGAACAGACGTCGAGAGAGGTGACACTTCTCCGGGAAAGTCAGACCTCGTGTTCGCGGGACAGCACTGGCGAAATCTTCCAACTGAACCATAGCTAAGGTTTATCCAGAAAAGTCGCTAGGTTTGTCAGTATGAATATTCTATGTAAAAAAAGCCGCTAAAATGGGTCTGAAAGTTGCTAAATCTAGTGCTAAAGTCGCGCTCGTGTGTGTGAGACGCGGGAGCTGATGGCAGGGGGCGGTGGATATTTGTGGCGGTCAATGTGGATATTGTGGATGAGTTCTTCTGTGTCATCACGTTCTATTAGTTCTACAGCTTCAGTTTCGGAACTTTCACGCTTAGTAACACATACAGCTGTTCCCTCATGACAGTGCAACAGTGAAAAGGGACCCCTTTCAAACAGTGTCGCGTTCCGAACGTTGTTTAAGCTACATACACCGGTATTGCGGTATTTTAAAAATTCATATCATAACAAAAATAAACACCGGTATTCGGTATGAACCGGTATACCGCCCAGCACTAATTCATGTCTACAACTCCGGGGTGCTCACTGGCTTTTCTAAGATTTCCTCTGAACTGTGTGAGCGTACTGACCTCTGGTGACACAGCTTAAAGCTATTACCATCAAAGACGCCCTACGGTGGCCAGTGAAGTCCCACTCCACTTACACACTAAAGGGGCCAACTTCCCTGGAGGTCTTCTAAATGCATTAATTCACTAGATCATTAATACGATACTAAGACAGCTCTAAAGTGCGGCTCTGTTGGGTCAGGTAAGATACTTGCTGTTGCCTGGGCAACGATTAGCAGTAAGAGCCAGACGGGCTAATCTATAGGTGTTTAGAAGAGCCGAAGCTCATCCATCTTCCTCACCTTAATCAGGATCCCCTCCTTGCAGTGATGGATGCCATTGCCCACCAGACTGCATACACTCCCAGGGTAGATCTCCACACCGGCACCCTGAAGCGAGCACACAGCGACCATCAGAATGATAATGGTATTGGTCAATGAAGAAGGGGCTATTTAGTGAAACGGCTGGTGGTAAATCAGTCTAAGAATGCTTCTGGCAAGACCTTACTCATCTGGATTTCATACTGTAATAACTACTGCAAAGAATAGATGACAGAGCAATACATTCAAATGATAATACTCATTTCATGAGTAAAGAAGTCTTCTTATAATTTAAGTGAGGTACCGTGTGCTAGTGCAGCTTACCTTGGAGCCGTACAGGTCGCACATGTTCATGCCGAGCTGGGCCGCCGATCGCACAATCACACCTGTGGTCTCACACTGCATCACACAATTTTCCATTTCCAGCTTCCCCTGGCGAACACCTGATGAAAGATAAAGGGTGCCAAATCGAAAAGACATTGGAGGACGGCGGCAGGACATGCAAGGAGGAAAGGTCACATATAAAGATATAGAATAGTGCTACGCTACATTGAATATTCGCAATACAAAATAACATTAACGGTATCACAATTTTTATTTGACTACTCCGTTTCCAAAATTAGATCAGTCATCCAGATTTCTGGATATGTAAGGGTTAAAACAGATAACATCTTTTATTTAAAGTTTTATTTATATTTGTGAACCACTTCAAACTGTTTTGAATAGTCCCTTTCACACAGAGATTCCAGAAAATACACGGATATGTCCCATGATTTGTCCTGGAATGGTTTGATTTTGGTTCATTCACACTGCCAGTGATTTTCCGGAATCTGTGCGTGTGTTCCCACAGATCCCGTAAAGATCCTGTAAAGACACGTGACATTAGGATATGACGTGTAATGTGGCGCGTACCCTTTACGGCATTGGTTCTGGCTTTTGTTCACACAGGGCTCATGCCGGAACTGATCCCGGCAATATAACTAGTTCCCCATCCCGGTACGTGTTTGCGTTCACACAGAAGGCACTCCAGCAATTTTCCAGAATCAACACGCTGTGTGAAAGGGGCTAATGACTGAAAATTTTGATTAGCAATTATATATATGTATATATACAATTATATATAAAAAAAATTATAATAAACAATTCACAGAAACCCCTTTCTGTATTGTTTATGTTTAAAAATATTTTCAGTATAGATCTATGTGGGTAATCTACTGCTGTTCTTTGACTAAAAATTGTTATAATGGTAAAAACATCCTATGGTTTAAAAGTTTAGGGTCAGTAAAATGTTTTTAATGTTTTTGAAAGACGTTTCATATGCTCACCAAGGCTGCATTTATTTGATCAAGAAAATAATAAAAACAGTAATATTGTGAAATATTATTTCAGTTTAAAATTACTTTTTCAATTTGAATGTGTTTTAAAATGTAATGTGCTTCTGTGATGCAAAGCTGAATTTTCAGCAGCAATATGCAGATTTCTGTAAATATTCTCGATAAAAAAAAAAAACGTTTTTTTTTTTTATTAGAAAGATCAAAATAACAACAAATAGAAACTTTTGTAACAATGTAAAAGTCATTACTGTCCCTTTTAAACAATTGAATGCATCCTTGCTGAATAAAAATATAATTTTCTTTCATATAAAGAAATAATTTGGCTACACTGACTGGTCAAAATGGTGATTAAAAGTCCCTTTTAAGCAGAACAAATTCACAGATCGAGATTCTTATTAAAAAAAAGTCTGAAAAATAGTGTCAAACTTTTTTTTCCTTATTTATATTGTCTAGCCATAATACAATAGGGAACATATTGTTTTGGAAGCAAGCAGGATATCCAGTGGATAATAAGCCTGTTACTCTGACCAGATCAGAAATCCCACAGGAAGCAAACCTTTAGTGAAGCTGCACACAGGGATACAGATTTAAAGTCTCCCAAAGGCTAGGCATGCCAGAAGAGCTCACCAATGAAATTACAAGGAAAACTTAAGATGACTCGTTACTGTGTTGCCAAATGAATGTCTGAGCAAAAGCAGCATGTCAGTTCTCTGTTGAATATACTGCTGTCCATTCAACAGCAGCAGTCCCTCAAGACTCTTCGACAAACAGCTGGAAAGGGGGGAAAGAGGCAGGACAATTTTCTTTGAAACTCACACAAGATGCCTTCAATGGCGTCGCGCTGTATGAACTTTAGATTTGAGAGTTTGACGTTTGCTCCTGTTGACTCCACAAAAGTGTCACCCTTGTTACGCTTCTCGATCACCACCTCGTCCGGCAGACCGTATCCTGAGGGAAGACGGGGAGAGAAATGGCTCTAGAAAAAGTGCTTTCATGACCAACCCTCACATACTTGGCAAACACTTTTTATCCAAAGCAACTTACAAAAAGCAAAAAACGTATTTTACAAAATAAAATAAGCTAAAATAATCACTGCATGGATGTTTAATGTTGTTTATGCCTCTTTTAACCCTTAAATGCATGAATGTTTTGCCAATCATTATTACATATTCGGGTCTTTAGCGACCCGGACCTATATATCCAGCACGGATGGACCTCTAACTGCTGCAATAGCAAAAAAGTATCTTGATATTTTAAGAACAATTACAGAAGAATAAAATAAAGCATATTTTGTTTCCTTTTTGAAACTTAAAGGGGTTCAATTTGAGCAGATGATTTTACCATCGCTGTCATCGTCCGAGCTCACTTCCACAGTACATTCAGCATCTGTTAAGGGGATGTATTTCCCTCATATTCACGATCTCAGCCATATTCTCAAAACTATCGTTTTCAATGACTTCATATTCAATATTTTGATCACTGGCAGCTTATTCACCACATCCAGCATCAAATGGCAGTGACATTTATATTTCATTGCGTATAGTAATTGCTCTGCATGGTTTGCCATTCAAACCAGTTAAATTTTTGCTGATGATTTTCGTTTGTTTTATGCCTGAGGTAATTATGAGTGAAACATCACGTCATCATTAGGGATGTAACGATTCACTCAACTCACGATTCGATTCGATTCACGATTTTGATTTCACGATTCGATTTGATTCACGGTTTTTTTTTTTACAAAATGAGATTTAAGACAAATTACAAATTAAATGTGTCCTTTTATTATTGCTTGGACAAAATGCTGCACATTTCTTTGTGAAATTGAAATATAACACTATAATAATATACTAATATAACACTTGCATATTATTGCTCTTTTGTTGGTTTTGATTGCTTCTATTGTCCTCATTTGTTAGTCGCTTTGGATAAAAGCATCTGCTAAATGACAAAATTTAAATATAATGTAAATGTAAATAACAAAACTAAATTGACAATTTAATAAATCAAATAAATAAGTAACACAAATAAAATAAACATCTTCATATAATGGCAGACAGATGACTGAGAGGTCAGCTTAGCACCATCTCAGTTTGAGATAGTGGTGGCAGGTCAGCGAGAGCAGCGGTTCAAAGCCGCAGAGTTTGACAGCCCGGCTTCATTACACACTGCTCTTTGACAGATGGTCCTGAAGCAGGTTTCTCCCAGACTTTTCTAACAATGCCTAGATGAACTTGAGCACCCTGGTCAGCTCTCACACACTTCTTTCAAATGCCAAAGGCTGAATATAGACCAATAAGGTCACAGCACCATCCTCACTTCTACGTGTGCAGGTAACAACAGTGGATTTGCTGGAAGATCTCACCGACCGTAATTGACAGCAGTGGGACGATTTGAATTGGAAAAACACAGAATCACAGACCGTACTTCCTGCACTCCAAAATGCAACACCGTTGCAGGTCTCAATGACTCACTTTACATATAAAAAACATGCAAAACTATTTAGAGCTCCTTCAAATAATCTTGCCGATAAAGCTGTAGCCTGAGACAGAGGCATGTCTGACGTTTTCGCTAAATAATATCAAAGACCTTTAGTGCGGGAAGCCGAGTTCTTTTATGGTAATCTGGCAGTGGTCTAATTGAGTTGCTCTTCTCCTGTAGTAGAGCCAGCAGCCGCCTGTGCGTTATCTCCTCTTTCAGGGCTTCCCTGACGCTGCAGGAGGGACTGCCAAGCACACAAAACCTCCATATTTAAACAGCATCCTCCAGGCCTTCTTTCTTCTTCCTCATTTGACTTCATCGCTATCTGACTTTGCAGGTCGTCCATTTGCATAAAGAGACTCGACCCTGACCCCGTGCTCTCTCTGCTTGCCTGCCTCCACATTCCTCATGCATTCATTTCCGCCCCCCCATCATTGAAAGGTGGTTATTGCGCCATCGAGCTCAATTACCTCGGCAGGCTTTCTAATATCACGCACCGACTGCGGTGTTCGTTTTATACACGTCCAGGGAATCATTTTGACAAACAAGGCCCGGTGCCAGACTATTGACTTAGTGTTATGAAGCATGCTGTATCACAAAGTGTTATTAAAGGGAAAAGAATAGTACAAAATACAGGTGATTTCCACTGAGTTTTAGATGGAGGTGGATGAAATAAAGAAAGAAAGAAGTACCTTCCAAATCAATCAGATGATAAAGGTCAATGTCTCTACATCACTGCCGCTAAAACTGGCCAAACAATTTAGACACCACTAATGTCACTAGTGTTAAGAGGAAAGTTACTTTTAAAAATAATGCATTACAATATTGCATTACTCCATAAAAAAGAAACTAATTGAGTTACTCTTTATGGAAAGTAATGCATTACGTTACTTTTGAGTTACTTTTTATCACTTGGCCTGGGCATGTTTATTTGTTTTTATAAAACGGATAGTTCCGGTCCTTGATTCTGATTGGCTGAGCCATGTTCGAAGCTGTTGTAAATTACTCTACAAACATACACCTTTGTTTATGTTTGTGTGTTACTCGGCAACCACTTTGTTGCAACCACAACTGATTCTGAGGAACTACATTGTTTGGTGGAAGAATAATGTTTTTTTATTATTAACATTACACTTAATTTGCGCCGTTTTATTTTGTGAAACCTTACTACGTATATGGAATAACCGTTTTAAGTGGTTATTCACTTCACCGCTTCGCGTCGTGCCTAACAATGCCCCTTAGCTGTTATAAATTCACTGTAAACCACGGCTTCTTGGGGTTTATTGCTTTATTAAACATTATGGTAATAAGAATTTGGAGGGTTAAAATGCATGTCATAAATAATTTCAAAATAAAAACAACCAAAAGCCATTTTTAGGCTTATTATTTTGGTTTATTCTGGTAAAAATAAGGCTTATTTGGAAAATTATTTCTTACAACTAAGAATTAAGGAAAATTCTTAATACATCACCTTGAGATCGTTTGCTGCTTCTTCCAAAGGACACACACTGTGGCCTTGATGTTTCTTGGACGTTTGACAAACACAGCAGAGAACTTCTTCATCATATTGGCAGAACAATTTGAGTCCCTCTCCGTGAGTGGCACAGAGAGCCTCTGGTTTGGACGTCCCGTTGGCTGAATATGAGCCTGCTTTCGCAGACGCTTGTCCTTTCTGCTTCTGTGCAATGGCATCGCACACGTTCTTCAGAGCCAGACTCACGGTGGGCTCCGTCAGAGAACACTTCCTCCTCACTGTAAACCACGGCTTCTTGGGGTTTATTGCTTTATTAAATAACAAAACCCCGAAAGTTATACTTTGGCAACTGTAAAGGCCCTTTTACACCATAAGTGAAATTAATAAGCCTCCGGCTAAAGGAAGTATCTCTCCCTCTGCACCTCACTCCCAATTTCTCTCAACATGGGACATGAGAGGTGTCAGTGAATAAATGGAAAAACAAAGTAACTTGCGTTACTTATTTGAAAAAGTAACTCAATATTTTGCTGTAAATTTAAAAGTAATGCATTACTTTACTTGTAAAAAAACTTGTGTTAACTTGTGTTACTTGTAATGCGTTACCCCCAACACTGAATGTCACTAACTTTTAAAGGTATAGTTCATCCATAAATTACATTTTGCATTGTCCTCACACAAGGCAAATCATATGGATTTGTAATATTTGTGATGAGTCATAAGAATTACTCATGACATTTTTTAAATATAATTTTGGAGATTAATTTTCATTTTTCAGAGAACAAAGAAAGTCATTCAGGTTTGGAACAAAATAAAACCGAGTAAATAATTTTAATTTTAAACCTCCTGCTGTGTTAATAAGAGATCAAACATGAGCTAGTGCATGAACACAGTGCTTTAACAAACCTTTACAAATCCTGCATTACAGCACCTTGAGACATTAGTGATCAGACCGTCCTAACAACTTTCCGCACAAACAGCTCTTTAATCTTACCATCCGAACAGAAAATGGAGAAGCGAGCGAGCACATGTGAGATTTTACTGGCAAAATTATTCACCGAGTCCTACCAGTCATAAAATTATACTAGCATGAGTGAAATCGTTGATTTGATTTTTTTCTGAGAGCTCCGAGGCGGCCAGCGCTCTCAGGGAGATATTAACCTTTAGGAGGTAAACCCAACAAATTAAAACACAGTGATCAGAGGCTGTGGGAGAAAGAGAGCAGGGCATTAATATCAGCATTTGGGGAGGATTTGCGCTCTATCTTCCATGTCTGAAACTACTTTATTTACATTATTTAAATGTAAAATTTATTTGCATGATTCAGCTCCTGGAATAGCGGAAGTGACCTTTACCAAAAATACCATATTTCCCACCCAAATGTCTTGTCACGGCTTGAAACTAGGCTTTGTTCAGACTGCAGACTAAAGTGGTCCAAATCCTGTAGTTTTTCCTCAGTCTGAACAGTCATATCAGAATTCAAGCAATTTTTACATTACTCTAGATCGATATGACATTTCTATAATGACGGGAGTTGCATAAAATCTCCCACAAAACATTTTAAGCGGTAATATTTTACAATAAGGTCTAATCTGATAACACTAGTCAACACTAGTGAACTAACAATGAACATCTGACCTTGAAAATGTATTAGTAAATGTTGAGATTGGCATTAACAAAAATAAATAAATGCTGTAGAAGTACTGTTACTTGTTAGTACATGCTTACTAATGTTATTAAATAAAACATAAATAAAACCTTATTGTAAAATGATTTTACATACTGGTGATTCTTTCATATGAAAGACAAATGCAAAAATAGTCAGTGGATTGAGAGTGAGGCATTAGAACCTAAAAGTATTATGGATGGTGACAGTTATATACACAAGCTGTCTAAAAGCGTCTAAATATCTAAAAACGTTCCTCTTTCTCTGCTCATCTTCATCCTCCTCATCGACAATACACAAATTTGTTGGCTTCAGCGGCACATCACCTTATAAATGAACGCATAAACACTTCAGTGGCTTCTCTCTCTCTCTCTCACTCACACACACACACAGACATACACACACATACATAGACAGCACTAAGCACTAATGCTAAAGTGTGAACATAGTTCTCCCTTTCATAGGCCAGATGTCATAAACCCCTTCCAAAATCCCTATTTACAAAGCCAGAACTGGAGAAAACAAGACCATTATCCTGAAAAGGTGAGTACAAGGTGTTCTGACCAACATGCAACTGTGACATAAAAAAAGAGAAGGGTTATACACACACCTGCACTTCAAACTCTTCACTTGAATAGTGGGGCATCAGTTTGTCAGTTATCAAGCTTTGAAGCTGGTGAACTGTGGCCAAGGCAGATACCAAGTGAACTACTCTGCCGCCAGCGGGACGTGGCCCCTTTGCCCTGCACGACTGCTGACCAGAGTTCACCTTGTAGCCCAGAACGTACCTGCAAAGGACACGGAGGAGGAATGGGTGAGCAAGTCAAAGAACTAACAGGCACAGTCACTCAAACACAGCTGTTCGCATTGACACGTCTTCGATCCCACCTGGAGTCTGGTAGCTAGGAAAGACTGATGATTAATTATGGAGCAGTGTGTATTGATCCTGAGGTTTGGAAAATACTTCAAAAAGCGTGAATGCCTGGTTGCAATATTAATCACATTTGTACTCATTATGTTACTCTCCTGATTAACTTAGGATTGAGGAGTAAAGCCACATTGTGGGTACATATGTACAAACACCTCTCAATCTCAAACTCACGCAGCAGTAATAATCACCTAAGCAGCGGGTTTTCAATAATACGCAGTTTGCGCTTAAGAGCTTCCAGCTGCTCATATAGGCGCAGTCCTTCCACCATGGATACGTTGTCTTGCTCAGACTCTGAGTCACTGTCCAGGCCACTTCTCAGGCTAGAAAACTCCTGAAACTTCTCAGAGCAGAGTGCCAGTGTCGAGTGATACTCAGCTACAAGACCAGCTGGAACGCGATCCTCCAAGATATCATAGTACCTATGGAAAATACATGAAGGGGGAGATGAATACAGCTATGAGCAGGTGACTATGTGTAATTTCTGCATCATTACTGGCACCAAAAAGAATTGCAATCAAACTTAAAAAAATAAATAAATGTCTCAATGGTGCCATTAGATTTATTTGTCTGACGTCTCCATTGTTGTTTATGCCAATGTGAGTTTAAAACTATATATCCTATGCTTAAATTAAGTAGCTCATTTCATAATGACTATAAATTATTTGCAAAGTACATTTATTTGCATTACTCAAAGCAATTTATAGTGTTGTCACACAATGAACTGCTCATTACTGAGTACACACTGCCACCTGATGGCCGGAGCTTCTTTACAGCTGCCACAGAGCTGCTGGGATAGCATTTAGATTTATTCAGTGCTATGCGGTCATGCTTCAGGGGAAGAGACAGGACACACAGAGGACACTTACAGCCTAAGACGAGGCTCCACACACCGAACAAAGTAATCAAAGTCATCGTCCTCATCTTCCTCATCCCACTTCCTCCAGATATGCTTATAGAAAAACCTGTGGGGATTAGACAGAAGTATGCAAGAGTTAATGGGGGGGGGGAGAGAGAAAGACAGTGTGGGGGGAGACTGAGAGTGACAGGAAAACCTGCTTAACTAGTCAGTTCAGTTTAATAGGGGAACCTCTTCAGAATCAAAATCAGTATACATTACAACTGTTCATTCGCATCTCTCTTTTGACACTCGAAGTATTACACACAGAATTGAATTTCATGTATTATGGAAAAATACATTATGAAATATGAAAAAAAGTGAACAATAGTATATTTAGAAATAAGTTACATGTGTATATATATATATATATATATATATATTTTAGGGC